AGTTATGGCTATGTCAAAAACTCTACCTCTTTTGACATAGTGAGCTAAAAGCAAAGCTGGGACCAGAACTGCTGTACGGCCAAGGCGGATGGAGTCCAGCGGAGGGCAACAAAAATGATTAGGGAGCTGTAGCACATGACTTATGAGGAGAGGCTGAGGGAACTGGGATTGTTTAGTCTCCAGAAGAGAAGAATGAGGGGGGATTTGATAGCAGCCTTCAACTACCTAAAGGGGGGTTCCAAAGAGGATGGTGCTCGGCTGTTCTCAGTGGTGGCAGATGACAGAACAAGGAGCAATGGTCTCAAGTTGCAGTGCGGGAGGTCCAGGTTGGATATCAGGAAAAACTATTTCACTAGGAGGGTGGTGAAACACTGGAATGGGTTACCTAGGGAGGTGGTGGAGTCTCCTTCCTTGCAGGTTTTTAAGGCCCGGCTTGACAAAGCCCTGGCTGGGATGATTTAGCTGGGAATTGGTCCTGCTTTGAGCAGGGGGTTGGAATAGATGACCTCTTGAGGTCCCTTCCAACTCTGATATTCTATGATTCTATTCTATGATTCTACTTGTCAATCTATTAGGAAAATTGCTTGTGAACTGAAAATGCCTCTTTTAATTCAGAGTCACAAGAGCTTAGTAAAATCTGTCAGGTGAGCAAGCTGGCATCTAAAGAGAAATACACCAACTGCATTTTTAGGTCCAGGAAGTGCTTAATGAAAGACCAAGGAGAAATTAACAGAAACTGGGGCAGCACAAATCCTCCCACTTTAGAAAGGGAGGACATCAAAGGAAAGCCGGGAGGATGCAAAAAAATCATATTGATCTTAACTGTTTTGTGTAGTTCCAGCCTAATGGATCGCAACCCATCGGCATTAGAATAGCTGACACGCTTGGCAGATGGCTCCCAGCAGGGGCAGGGGCACAACTGTGCACATCTGTCACTGGCGCTAGATTGGTAATTGTGTGGTTGCCAGCAGTCAGCAGATTTCTGAAAGATGCACACAGATAGAGAGAGGAGTGAGAACCACTGACACTCATTTTCCTCCACATCACGCTCAAGCCTGAGTTGCTACTCCAGCTCTCCTCCTCCGTGCTGAGTACCTGTCAGCTTGTTTACCTTCCTCAATGACTGAGGTGCAGTATGTGTGCTGGAGCTTAGCTGGGAGACCAGGATACTGTGTGCCTGGCTGCTACACACGCTACCTGCTGCCAGGGCTCTATTTCATGTCAGCACCCTTTCCTTTACAAAGAGTGGTGTCTTGTAATGGTTCCCTCACAAGAGGAGGAGAGACGTGGGGCTCTGGCTTTCTGAATTTGTGACCAGGCCAGGACACCAGACCCCTCTTAGATGCAGTGATTCTGAACATGGCAGAAAAGGAAGCTCTCTTTCAACTAAGCCTTGCTTAGAAACCTGCAGGGTCCATTTCAGAGGGTGTGGCCATTTTTGTAATTTCCTTGTATTCATTATTTGTCAACATGGTCTGACTTTTGTGCCAGACCTATACCCAGGCCCATGGCACTGGGCTGGACACCTGCTCTGCTAGTGCCATGATCACAAGGACTTTTCTCCCCTCATTGCTTTGTGTTAATGTTTACACCATGCTTTGTCTCGCATCTTCCCGTCTCCTGCCTCCCCAGTAACCCAAACCTTGCCGCACATTCACACTCTGAGGCTGAGATGGGCAAACAAAGTCACAGCCGGCCTGTCCACTGCCTGGCACCTTGTGTGATCATTTACACCTGATTCTCATCCCACTTGCACTGGAATTCCAGAGCAATACCACTGAATTCCACACTGTGACTTGCGATTTGCACCAGTGTAAACAAGATGAGAATCTGGCCCTATCATTCCAAGCTGGCTGTGCTTCATCCCCACTTCACATAAGACTCAGGCCCAAAGCAGTTCTCAGTTAGTGATCCATGATGGAGTGATCCCACTTGTGGTTGTGACCTGCTGCACTGCCAAAAAAGGTGTGGTTTTGCTGCAAGATGACTGATGTGCATTAGTGATCGTGCTGTGAAATCCTAGTGGAGACATAAGATAAATTAAGTGAGGTCAACTATGGGCAGGGATGTAGTGCTGATATCATCCAGCTACCTCACTGGAAACGCTGCAGGTGCCTTGTCACACCATGGATTTTAAACCAGGGTAACTAACACATGTTAAAAACTCTACCTCTTTTGACATAGCCATAACTAACACATGTTAAAAACTCTACCTCTTTTGACATAGTGAGCTAAAAGCAAAGCTGGGACCAGAACCCAGGTCTCCACATTTGAAGTCTCCTTCCTACAACAATCCCTTCCTCCCATTTAAAAAAACAAGTCACCCAGTGGTTCCCAACCTTTTTCCCTGCATGACCCCATTTTCAGCAGTATTGTTTCCCGCGACCCCGACAGACTGGAAGGCGCCATTTTAAAATGGCATCTTCCCTACACCGTGACCTCGCACACACCATGTGTGCAATGGGATGGGGTGCAGGGTTGAATGCAGGCCAGATGGGCCAATTATTCCTTTAGACAGCTGATTAAAGAGGCTCAGCTGGGCAGGAATAGGCAGGGCTTATAAAACCCAGGAGCTGAAAGGAGAAGGGGTGGCTGGGAAAAAGGCAGATGCTCTGAAAGTGAGGCGAGAGTAGGGACTTCAGTCACTCCCTGGGAAGTGGGAGGAGGCTTTGGGGAACTGGTAGGCCCAGAAAGAAAAGGGGAAGCAGTAGCAGCCCAGGGGTAGAGCAATGAGGCCAGAGAGAGAAGGCCCAGACTGCTGAGATGAGGGTCCCTGCGCTGGAACCCAGAGTAGAGGGCAGGCCTGGGTGCCCCTACCAGCCACTGGGCAAGTAGCACCAAGGCAGTGAGTGAGAGGACTGCCGAGGGGGAACACAGACAGTGATATGGCTGGAGAGCTGACTCACGAGTTGGATGCTGCAGTTCCTGAGGCTGCAGGAGGAGCTGCAGGCAGATGGTGTAACAGTGTGCAAACCGCAGATGGGGCAGGGTTTTGGTCTTGAGCTAATCCCCAGAGAACCAGGAGGAGGTGCCAATCTGTTGGTAAGTGGTGTACTCTGACATGCAAGATTGTAAAATGCCATCCTCCACACATTCAGGATTGTCCAGATCCAATCCACTGATGGAGTGATCCCACTTGTGGTTGTGACCTGCTGAAATAAACAAACAAGGAAGCAATAGCCTGGAGGTATTTCTTTGCATATTTATTCTTAAAGAGGCAGATAACTTTAACTTGCTGGGCAGGTATAAATAACCGATTCAGAGTGTACCTATATTATGGGAGAATCATTATGTTTCTGGGATTAACTTCCCCTCTTTTGCTTTCTTTTTACTGTTACTAATGTATAGAGGTGCACTTTATAAATACCAATAACAATTCAAACTTATCAAAGTGTCTTTAGTGTATTAAATGTACCAAACACCCTTCCACACTTTTCTGAACTAGAAGAAAAAAATCTCATTATTTCTCAGCTGTATCTACCAATGGAAAAGCAAACACATTAAAAGTGTTTCTGCAAAGAAATTGAATCTCAACTTACTGTCTCCTCCACTGTGATAATGAATAATAAAACATTCCATGGATCTCATAAGGCCTTGGCCTGACACCTGTATGTGACTACCTTTGTAATCTTTACTTCCTTGTGAACAGGGAAGAAATATTCCTTAGTGGCCCACTCATACTCCTTTCTGTCCTGCAGGGTTCAATACATGCTGTTGCCAGAAACTTTAGCCCTGATTCTGTAAACTAACCCACAGAGGATGATCCTGGCTGGTGGGACTCTGCATGGGCTCAAGGGTTTATCTGGGTGGATCAGCATGCTGAATTGGCCCTCCTGCTCCATCTATGAAACCCAAACTCATGGAGCAAAACCATCAATAATTGCAGTGGTTTGGAAGGGCTCAAATTCCAAATTACTGAATTGTTGTCATATGCTATATGAGCACTGTCAAACATAAGTGTGAAGGAGTGGGGTGGGAGTGTATGTGAGCCTGCCCAGAGTAGAGGCAGCACTCTCCTTGTTCTCCTCCATCTCAGACTTCATTTTTTTTAAAGTCAGTCTCTGGCTGCTATAGTTGTAAATGGCTTGCTGTAAATGATGCAGCAACATCTTCCTGAGTTTGCAGAAAGCCTGAAACAATAGCTCTGAGGTGTGACCTACCCCTCCTACTTTCCATGGGCACTATACTCAGTTGCCATTGATGCTATATTAAATGTCAGCTTAGTTAAGGCTAGGGCTGCTCTCCAAAGCTGTGGGGAAGGTGAGGCAGGAGATTACAGAAGAACTACACCAGCCTCTGCTAAAGTGTTGGAAGAGCCAGCGAGGGTGAATCCCAGCTCTAGGCCTTTCACAGCACATGGATGGAGGGGAGTGTCAGACTGGCTTCGCTAGCGTGAAGCAGGGCTCAGCTTGCCGAAGCTTGGAGACCCCAGCTCCCGACGATGGGAGCGGCAGGGACCGGCTGTCTCCGTGCCCAAGGCAAGTAGCAGCTTAGGGCCGGGCGCCGCTCTCCGCCCTGAGGAAGGCTGTTGGGCATGGGGAGACCTGGGTGCGGGGCTGGAGGCGGGAGCAGCTCAGACCCGGCAGGAACAGGCTTCCTTGGCCGGGAACCTCCCGCCGGCTTGCAGTCCAGGCAGCTCCGTGTGCCCTTACCTGCGGGGAGCGGAGCCGGGGAGGCGGGGCGGGAGGCGGCGCGGCTCTGCCCTGCCTCCCCGCTCGTCGCCGCTCGCTCCCCGGCCGGCGCTGTGTCTTCTGCGCCTCCAAGATGAGCGGGCAGCGGCGAGGCGGCTGCCGGAACCCGCTGGTAGGTGGGAGCCGGAGCCAGCCCGCCCGCCCGGGCACGGCGCGCTGGGGGATGGGCTGCCGGGCTGCCCTGGGGTGGGGCGGCGAAGCCTGGCGCCGGCAAGGGGCTGGCCAGGCAGGTCCGTGTCCCTGCTGCTTTATGGGCGCTGGGCGGGCTGGGGTGGAACTTGGTGCACGCTGCGCGCCGCTGGTGGGAAGGGAAGGGGTTAATGGTGTTTGTCTCCAAGGGGAAGGAGGTCGTTTGATGTTGGAATAGGGGCGTGTGTGAAGCACCCCCCCCCAACTGGCTTCCCAGGGGAGCTCTTAGCCCAGGGCCTGGCTTGTTTGTTTGGCAGAGGGCGAGCAACTGGCGCAAACAGCAGCTTGTTGTGAGGGAGTTGATGCGAAACCCGATCCCTGTTCCTGGCAGGGCAGCGTCCTTGCCGTTTGGGGTAGGAGTGCGCTTCCTACTACCAGCCCTGGCCTGGTCCTGACGTTGAAAGGTGGCTGGGGGAGAGCAAATCCACCGTGCAAGGCACGGCTCCCCCAGCATGGGCAGAATTAGCAGGTCAGAGTCCCGCGCTTCTCCCCTCTTGTTTCCTACAAAGCAAGGCTTTTCTAACTGCCAAGAGTGTCTGCCCTAGTGGGGCAGATAGATTAGTTAGTACTGCCAGTGCTTCGCAGCTTGTTCCCTTCCAAAGCAGGAAGTTAGGTGCCTTGAGTCCATCCTTAACTCCGGCTAATAGCAGCTGAAGGAAGAACTCCCCCTCTCCCCTTTTCCTTTCCAGGTCTCCCTGAACAGTTACAGTTCAAACATCGATTTATTTACTAGTAGCTTTTCTGAACTTGTCACTTGCTGGGCTCCGCTACCTACCCCCCAGCTTGGTACATGCTCCTGGTCCTGTATTAATACATAATAATTAATAATAGTCTCTCTCCAGTCTGACTTTGCAGGCTGGGTGGAGGCCTTTCCCTCTTTAAGTCTAGAGACTAAATTTTCAGTAATCATGTTTCAGTTTCAAGCTTCCCTTCTGGTCAGCAGGGTGCAAATGCTGTAGGCTTGCTCCAGTCTGATCTTGTTGCTAACAGAGTTATTCAGCTTTAGTGGCCATAAAGTTTAGTTAAATGGGAGTTAAGAGATAATGGGTTTCTTGTTATTTAGACAGCTCTCCTCTGAAATCAAAGGCAGAGCTAGGGAAGTGCACACATAAGGACAATAATAATGCTAATTTGTCAGTTTTGAGCGGTGAGGTCTGAGAGAGTGGCTGGTATTTGAAATAATGTTTTGCTATTGTTTTTTTATTGACTTTCTGCTTTTACTGATGTGATCACTGGCTTTGAAATGTAGCATATTATGGTTGAATGTCTACCTTGTCAGATATTCAAATGTGTCTGAGTTAGCACTATTTTAATTCCTAGTTTTCAAGCCTTACTCATAGCTTTTGGAAGCACAATGTGCATCACCCGTGTAGTTTATGACTATAATACATATATTTATGCATGCAGCTGCAGTGGTTCAGGTGCTTAATGGCAGCTCTGGCAAATGCGATGGGGGGATTTGGGATACATGTCTTGGTTTCTCACAGTTCTCTCAAGTCTGAGTGTGTTGATGGGTTAAGCACTGCCTGTTCCCTGTGGTCGTGGGTGTGATGCCTCCGCCCCATGGAAAATGAATTCTGAATCCTTGATTCAGTCATTGTTCGATAATAATTCAAACTAGAACGTCCCCATCCAAGGAGCTGCCACAGCTTAGACAGACTGGTAGCCTGTACCCACTACAGCTCTGCAAGGCACAGTTGCTGTGTGTTTCTAGCCTAGGGTGACCAGACAGCAAGTGTGAACAATCGGGACAGAGGGTGGGGAGTAATAGAAGCCTATATAAGAAAAAGCCCCAAATATCGGGACTGTCCCTATAAAATCGGGATATCTGGTCACCCTATTCTAGCCAGTGTGTTGTTTTTACCCATGAGCAGCGAGGTCAGTGGTGGGCAGCATGCTGGGAATTTGGAGTGCAGTGCCAATTGCTTGTATTGGGGACTGAGATGTGTTGGGCACAGGTTTGAGCAGCTCCTTTATCCTATGAATAATATTAAACACCCCCTTCCTTCTCGCTACTTTAAAATAACCCAAGTACCCCTGTCTATAAATAGCACTGATGTCCTGCTCACGAACGGGGAGGCAAGAATGTCACCTGATGTAGATGATGACAGACAAATTTGAGGACAGGCTGCTCACCACTGCCATATTTCCTGTTTGCTGTGCCTGTCACTGCTGCCCATAACTTGTTAAGAATCTGCTTGTGTTGCTTTCCCTTTTCTTTTCCTTTTAATGAATAAATAATAAACACACTCAGAAATGAAGAAAAGCAACAACTTGCCTTGATGCAATAGAACAAAACACACAAGTGACTGAAACTGTGTGTACAATGAAGCTACAGGAAAGAGAGCAAGCAGGGTCAAGATCCCGAAGGAGGAAGTGCCTTTGGCAAAGGTCCGTTGCATGGAGTTAGGTGGTGGTTGCACCCAGAGCCTTGGGTGTGCCTGATGTTTACAAACAATTACAGACCAGTCTGTGCCTGGAGGAGCCTTTTGCAGTGCCAAGGGAAAGCCGTATGCACCCTGTATGTGCTGAAAGTTACCCTGCCTGGTTTGTAAACATTGCTCTTCTGAAGCTACTGCTGCTGATGATAAATTCCATCCACTGAAATAGACCACTTGCATTAATAATGGGAGCCGACAGCATCCCTGACAGAGGCACAACATGTTAAGTGACTGCTAACTGTTATGTGTGCAGACAGACATACGTGTGCGTTAAGATAGGGGAGGTACAGTTTCTGAGAGTGCACGTGATTGGCTTCTGACAATTAAAAACATACTGTCACTTTAAATCACCCTCTGTTCAGCGTTGAATCACTTTCCCAAATGTATATATTTTTACCCTTAAAGTCTGGCCTGATTTTTAGGTTTGTTTTAGTTGATGTTTCTGCCCCCTGTTGGGTGTTCCTCAGTCAGTTCTGAGATGACTGTGTTCTGTTTAACCTGGCAAGTCTTGGGCAGAGGTGATGAGAATTGTCCCAATGGTGCATTTCCCAGTGACAGCGCTTTCAAAAAGGGCTTATGGCTGCTAAGATTAAGTGCCTTGGTTTTCAGTTCCAAGTGAAGCCAAGGATGACGGGTGACCAGCCCCTCTGGAAATGTGTGTGTCCCGAGTCGAGCACTTGAAACCATTCTTTTTTTTAAAAAGTGACTGTACCCTGTCCCTTAGGGGTCGGTCTGCTCTAGTGGGATAAGTCTGTGCTATTCCCTGCAATATTGCACTATGGCAAGGAATAAAGGGACTCTTTGGGACAGAAGCCATTTAAGGCTGAGTTCTGCTCATGTAATTCTGTGGTACAGGCTTAGATCTGCATATTGAACTGCTGTGTACTGATGCCACTGAACTCACGGCTTAAATGGTCCCAAATGGCAAGCCTGAAGGCCAGTTAGCAGCTGCAGTCTTCTTCTGTGATATTTAAAACCTTGTTCTCCCCCTTAAAAGAAAAAATAACCTGGGTTGGTTTTGATCTGGATTTCAACCCCCCAAGTTGAGGAGTGTCCGGATCTGGGGGTTTGGTTGGGCTCCCAAGCTGAGATTTGGGCCCAGCGCTGCTCATTTTGCTTGCCAGGTCCCTTGTAGCCAGCTGAGTAGGAATGATTGTCAGCAGCGCTGCTTTGGCTTTCAGTCTCCTTAGAGCTTTCGGCGCTGTGTGTGTACCTGCCAAAACAAAACTGCTGTGCCTAGCCCTAGGAACCCTCTAACTCTGTTAGTTGCACTGATTAATGAGCAGAATACACAGTAGGGAAGGAAACTACTGACCTTATTGGACCTTCTGTTCAGGTTATTTACTTTAGGGTTACCATATTTCAGCAAGCAAAAAAGAGGACGGGAGGAGCCCCGCCCTAAGCCTGCCCCTGTCCTGCCCTAGCCCCGCCCCTGCCCCTCCCACTTCCCGCCCCCCTCAGAACCCCCAACCCTCCCCCCACTCCTTGTCCCCTGACTGACCCCTCCTGGGACCCCTGCCCCTAACTG